GACTCTGTCCTATGGGGTCAGTAGGAGACGGAACCAACTTGAAAGCAGTAGGTTGGGTTGGGTTGGGTGTTGGCTTTGGCACAATCTTTCCACTTCTTTCACCTGGTGACAAGTGTTCTCTGGGCAGGTGTGTCAGTACTGCAGACTTGTCTTTGTGAAGTTTGCTCTAGCTTACACTATTCACACCCACAACCATGCCAACCAAGAGTCGGCCTCAGACAGACTGCTGACAAGACACAACCTCCCTCTTGGGATAGGCCGGAGGCACTCCCCAACTTAATGACTAAACCAACCTGGAACGCCCATCTTGGAAGCAATGAGAGGAACGAATTGTGAAATGTGCTGCTTTCTTTGAGCTGGGAACGTGCTTTCCCACGGAGTTTATTACATATTTATAGTATTTAGTTTGGTTACTCAAGGAGTCCTGGTGTGGCGCTGTGGGCTAATGCGTCTCAGACTGCAAAGTCGTTTGAACTGCAAGGTCAGTAGTTGAAGCTCACCAGCTGCTCCTTGGACATCGTATACAGGGTCGCTATGGGTCGGAATTGACTTGACAGCACTTAACAACAACAACTCAAGAGAGTAGCTCTGTCCATTAGTAAATTGCTCTTGTTTTCAAACAATATTACTGATTTTTTTTTTTTTTTTTAAGTCTTTCTCAAGTCAGTTAAATACATAAGCCTGAATAGAAGACTTTCTGCCTAAAAAGATTTGGGCCCCATTTCATTACTGTGTTCTATTTTCTTCCTCACATCCAGGATGATATTCAAAACCTTAACAACCTCCACCTCACGGTTTGCCTGGATCAGAAAAGACACTGCTGGTGCAGAAGCAGGGTGCAGAAGGCCCTCACTGAACCAGGCTCTTGTCCTTCAACAGCTGGACAGAGGGTGGGTGTGAGGAGCCTGGGCTGAGGGGCCAAGCAGCGGACTGGAGATGAGGGAGACAGGAAGGGTGAAGCACTTTTACCAAGCAGAAGGTGAGTCTTTCCCTAACCCAACAGCCCTTGGGGCCTCTACTTCTTAAAGGGCCTTCTCACGTTTCTCACCAGCACCATGGTCCTGCAGAATCAGTAGCTTCCCTAAACACCTCCCAAAGTAGGTCCCACAGAGAGGATTTCTCTGGAAAAGAACTACTTTTCAAAGTGCCACATTCAAGAAGCTTGAAAAGAAGCCCACTCTCACCCCTGCTGGAGAGAACAGCCTAGAGAAGATGTTAAGGGAGTTCAAGAGTCCCACAAATTGGAAAAAAAAAAACTGTTTACTTATTTAAACCAAAATTGCCCCAAACTTTCTGGCCCCCAGATCCATTCCTTATATCTATTTACCATCCCGTAGGACTGGGGCCCCAGAGAACATGCTTACTCTGACCACTCTTTGAGGGACATGCTAGGAAATAGCTTTTTCTTCTTGGGGACAGGGAGATGAATAAAGCCACCCAAGAAATTTTTAAAAAGAAAGAACAGAGCTCATGAAAAACATTCCTTTGGAACACTGAGGCAATGGATCGTTGAGCACTGTTGAGCTGCTTCCCTGGGGTTTGTCTTGTGCAGAGGCCAATAAACACCATTCCTGGGCCCACGCCTTGAGAGCTTACCGATTCAGTACTAGACAGCGGAGGAATCCTGTTCTACCACCTGGTGTCGGGTCACTTCTGCCTATGGAATGCTGCAGGTCAATGGTTCTCCTGGAGACATACTTGTTTTTCACAAGTTTGGGAGTAGTGATGGCGGCACAAAAAAATTGTTGTTGTTGCTAAGTGTCGCTGAGTCAGTTCCAACTCCTAGCAACCCAGTATAGGGTTTCCAAGGAGCAACTGGTGAATTGGAACCACCGACCTTGTGGTTAGCAGTCCAGTGCATATACTACGGCGCCACACCAGGACTCCAACAAAGAATTACCTGGCCCAAAATGTCAAGGGTGCCAACGTTGCAAGGCCCTGCATTAGGTGGAACAAACAGGACAGTATTGGGAGTAGGCAGTAATTCTAATATTTGAAGAACCTACCTGAGAAGCCAGTGCTCAAACAGCCATGTGAATTGGACAAGCAAATATCTACTCTTCTCATTTTTAATAGGAAAACCATTTAGCACAGCTGTGAAGCTTATTTTGCTTACTGCAGACAGAAGCCTTCTATGTCACCACAGGCAATTCAGTCAGAACTGAGACAAACATTCAGAAATGCTCATCGTTTGGAGACTGAGGCAGCACTGGAGGCACTCACTCATCTCTGCCAAGAAATCTGGAGGACAACTATCTGGCCAACTGACTGGAAGAGATCCATATGTGTGCCCATTCCAAAGAGAGGTGACCCAATGGAATGCGGAACTCATAGGACAATCTCTTTGACAGCCCATGCGAGTAAAGTTTTACTAAAGGTAGTACAGAAACGGCTACAATCATACATTGACAGAGAACTTCCAGAGGTTCAAGCCGGATTCAGAAGAGGACATGGAACAAGAGATATCATTGCTGATGTCCGATGGATCTTGGCTGAAAGCAGAGAATGCAAGAAAGATGTTTACCTGTGCTTTATTGACTACACAAAGGTTTTTGATTGTGTGGATCATGACAAGCTACGGACAACATTGCAAAGTATGAGTATTCTGGAACACTTAATTGTGCTCATGAGGAATCTGTACCTGGACCAAGAGGCAGTTGTTCTAACAGAACATGGGAACACTGAATGGTTTCAAATTAAGAAAGGTGTGCAACAGGGTTGCATTCTTTCACCATAGTTATTGAACCTGTATGCTGAGCAAATAATCCAAGAAGCTGGGTTCTATGAAGAAAAACATGGCATCAGGATTGGAGGAAGACTCATTAACAACATGCGATATGCAGATGATACCACCTTGCTTGCTGAAAGTGAAGAGGACTTAAAACATTTACTGATGAAGATCAAAGACCACAGCCTTTGGTATAGATTATATCTTTATGTAAAGAAAACAAAAATCCTCACCACTGGACCAATAAACATTCTTATCAATGGAGAAAAGATTGAAGTTGTCAAGGACTTCATACTTCTTGGATCAACTACCAACATTCACGGAAGCAACAATCAAGAAATCAAACGATGTATTGCATTAGGCAAATCTGCTGCACAAGACCTTTTTAAAGTGTTGAAGAGCAAAGATGTCAGCTTGAAGACTAAGGTGTGCCTGACCCAAGCCATGGTATTTTCAATAACCTCATATGCATGCGAAAGCTGGACAGTGAATAAGGAAGACTGTAGAAGAATTGATGCCTTTGAGTTGTGGTGTTGGAGGAGAATACTGAAAGTACCATGGGCTACCAAAAGAACCAACAGATCTGTTTTGGAAGAAGTGCAGCCAGAGTGCTCCTTAGAGGCCAAGATGGCCAGACTTTGTCTCTCATACTTCGGACATATTGTCAGGAGAGACCAGTTGCTGAAGAAGGATATCATATTTGGTAAGGTGGAGGGCCAGAGAAAAAGAGGAAGACCCCCAGTGAGATGGACTGACAAAGTGGCAGCATCAATGGGCTCAAGCGGGCAACAATTGTGAGATTGGCTCAGAATCGGGCAGTGTTTCATTCTGTTGTGCATAGGGTCGCTATGAGTCGGTACTGACTCAATGGCACCTAACAACAACAAGCCTTTGTTCAAATAGCAGTGCTTAATAAAATTCAAAGGAGCTCTGGTAGCGTAGTGTTTACAGAATTGGGTTGCTAACCTCAAGGTCAGCAGTTCAAAACTACCAGCTGCTCTGCGGGAGAACGATGAGGCTTTCTGCTCCCATAAAGATTTACAGCCTCAGAAACCCGACGCAGGATCACTATGTGTCAGAACTGACTTCACAGCACACCACCACTACAACCAATAAAATTCCAATGAGCTCTGCCCGCCTCTTGTAAAAACCATGTGGGGGGAGGGGCATTGGGAAATCCTCCGAGAGGCCGGACAACAACTTCTTTCCTCGGCTGGACGGGCTTGGAATTTTTTTACTGTTCCGGTAGAAACAGAATATACTATGGAATATAGGTGGTCTCTGCTTCAAAAAGTCCCCAAAGGACACACCCATCATAAATAGAATTTCCCAAAACTAGGGGGGAAAAAGTATAATGACCAGGGCTAACTCTCCACGAAATATATAATGATCCATCTGAAATCTCAAAGTTTCATTTTCCTGGGAGGATGATAGGGAAAATAAATGTATCTGACCAATCTAATCCACAGGAAGAAAAGTCTTCAATTAAGGTGAAATGGGAAAGGAACATTAACTAGTACTAGTTCGCGTGCAGAGTCCGGGTGTGGCAG